TGTTATGTCAATGCCCAGGCAGGTTTGAGCAATTAGGAACCTGACCTCTCTTGGTCCAGGAGGAAAATACTATGGAATCAATAGAGCTGTGATCATGAAGAGACAAGATCAATAAGATTTGGAAAATTTTTCTTTTTTCTTTTTTTTTACTGTGAAAATACCATACAGAGGGGATACAATTGCATAGGCAAGGTAATGAGTGCATTTTTTATCAAGCATTGTTTCCCCTTCTCATATCCCTCCTCCTTCGCCCCCCCCTGCCCCCACACCAAAGAGATATAGTTCATTTTCGACATAAGATCTTGTACATCTCATTGGTGCAATGGGTCCACCTGTGAAAATTTTTCTTTTATATGAAAAAAATCAGATTTTAAAGGGAAGAGGGAAAAATGGCCAGTGTTTCATCATGGTGATTGTTTCTATATAAATATACAAAGAAACAAACAAACAAAAAAAGAGGCCCAGAAGCCCACATCCATCAATTCACCACAGCAGGAAACAAACGGAGAAGCCAGGAGGCTTGAAATCCCTCTGAGACTTGGCACAAGGCAGTTTGAAAACTTGAATACAATTTCTCACCAGATTTAATTATTCCCACAAGAAAAATAAATAAATAAACTTTCCAGAAAAAACCAAGGATATCTTTTGTTCCTTATTTGTGATTAGAGCTAAATTTCCTTTTGAGTCCAAGAACTGAATGGTCTGCGCTAACAAGAAGTGAGTGTTTTGGAATTTTCTCTATCACGCTGTAGGATCTAGACTTGACTGAAGTGAGGAGTTGGTGCCAAGAACAAAATTATTTATTTTGTCTTCTTCAGTCCAGGTGAACATGTGATCATCCTAATGATGTGCTTTGAATAGAACATAATTCTCTTCCTTAGAATAGTTCACCAAGGGTTTAATGGCATTTACTATTTATTGGGCTCTGCCTCAAGAGTTTGCATTTCTTAAAATAATACCATGGGAAATATGTAGGCTGAAGTAGGGACAGCAATACCAGGTTTGAATCTACCTCTAACATTTGCCAACCGGAGAGCCTTGGGAAAGCTCACCCACTTTTCTTACTGATGAAGTAGAAAGACATTTTCCACCTATCTTCAAAAGGTGCCAGAACACTATAAACTATATCATGGATATGAAGTATTTGGGGGAACACACTGCAGATGCTCAATAGGTGAATTTCCCTTTCTATAGAAGTTCCCTTGTATTGAATCATTCACAAAATTTGCTTTAAGATAGTAGCTGGTGGCTCAAGCCTGTAATCCAAGCTACTTAGGAGGCTGAGACTTGTAGGATCAAAGACAGTCCAGCAGAAAAGTCTGGGACATGCAGGGAGGGAAAAAAAGGAAGGAGGAAGAAGGAAGAAAGAGAAGGGAGGGGGGAAAAGCCAAAAGAGAAGGCTAGAGTAATGGAGATGGAGGGAGAGAGGGAATGAGAAATGAAAGAAGGAAGAGAGGAGGCAGACAGGGGTGGAGGGGAGGAGGGAGAAAGATAGAGACAAAAACAGAGACAGAGATAGAGACCAAAGTGCTTTGAGCACATAACATGTCATGTCACTGAACTAGAAAGCTGTACAATACAATAGTGTAGAAACTGCTCAGATGAATTCTGTGCTATTCTCTAGCATACAAAAATGATTGTGCACCTCCAGAGAAAATAAAAATAGGAACTACATAAGTTATTAGTTTACAAAACGGAACAAAAGCTCAGGAAAACCCACCTATACAAATATATAAAAACTTAACCAATTGACAGTGGCTATGCATGTCAATCAACAGAGATGAATGAAAGCCAATTAAATTCCCTGTATACTTGGCTGAGCAATCCCAGGCCTCAGCTGCAATGTAATTCATTGCTTTCCTCAAAGGAAATGTGTTTTAAGTCAAGGCCTCATGTGAACGAGTGCATGCTCAGAACTGAAGCACCATGCCAAAAATAATCCACACTGGGTATTTTTTTTGTGGGGAAATAAAATATAAAGTCCTTCCTACAGCCAAGAGTTCCATTAGAAAATAAAATATTTGGCTTCGGCAAAGAGACAAGATCCCACCCTTTATGAACCAAGCCAATTCTCCTGCTGTGCCTCTTTGGTGCTGTGCCTACTGCAGTTTTGGAAAAAGTAGGACAGTGTCTCTAACCCTTACTGACATAGCCAAGGAAGCTTCCAGAACTGCCCAGGAATATAGGGAATGGCAGGACAAGATCTGCAATACAAGGACAGAGCCAGCACTTAATCATACCAACACGGGTTACCCAGCCCAGCAGTAAAGTGCTCTTCTCCCTTAACACCATTCCTTGATGGCCAACTTCTTTATCTTTCCTCTTTTCTTGTATGTAAAACAAAGCCAAAGGGCACATATCTCACACCAGAGAGGTGGAGGCTCATATCATAACTGTATTGGTTTACCTCACTAGGAAAAAAGTCTGTGGAGAAGATGAAAGTATTGGATAAATGGATGGTAGGAATTATCTGTAGCTTTCTGACTTCTAAGTCCTCTGATGCATGGTCCCAGAGAATGGAGAGATCAATATCCTATAGGAAAATGCACAGAGCACTGAAGGAAACAAAACCAGGGCTGGGAATGTGGCTTAGTAGTAAAGTGCTTGCTTAGCATGCATGAAGCCCAGGTTCCATTCCTCAGTACCACATAAACAGAAAAAGCCAGAAGTGGTGCTGTGGCTGTGGTATAGTACTAGCCTTCAGCAAAAGAAGTTTCAGGGACAGTACCCAGGCCCTGAGTTCAAGCCCCAGGACTGGCAACACACACACACACACACACACACACACACCAAAAATGAGAAAATGAGGAGTCTTAACATCCTCTTACACTGTTTTTCTATATAAATGAAGACAATATATATTTATATGTGTGTAATTGTGTATGTATATGCCAAATGAAGATATATATATATTTAGGTGTACATACTATAAAGGTATATGTGTATACATATACCTTCAACCTTCAAATCTATGAATATTCATATATGAATATATATACTTGTTAGATACAAATATATGACTATAAGAAGTCTATAAAAACATGAACCAAAATGTTAATGGAGCTACATCTTATATGCCAATTACAGTCCCCATAAAACTGTTGGGCTAGAAACGATTATAGGTAATCTTATTTTACTTATCTATGTTTTTCAGCATTTTTTGTGTATGTATCATTTTAGTCCTAAAGTATGTAAAAGGTTTTTTTCAAAAAGTATTTTTTGGGTGACATTAGGGTCTGAAGTCAGGGCCTTAAATAAAGGCAAGTCCTCTGTCCCTTAGCCATGCTTCCTTTCCCTTTTGCTTTTGTTCTTTTTTTTTTCTGAATAGGATCTTGCTTTTGTCTCAGGCTGGTTTAGACTGCAGTCCTCCTATTGACGCCTTCTATGTAGCTATGGTGACAGCTGTGGACCACTACACCGAAATTTATGGGTTGAAATGAGGGTCTCACAAACTTTTTGCCTGGGTTAGTCTCAGATCATGATCATCCGCAGCTTAGCTGCCTGGGTGGAGAGGATTACCAAGTGAGCCACTGCACATTAATTAATTAATTAATTAAAGAGAATCGGGTTTGGCTATGTGTATAGCCTAGTGCTGACTCAGAGCTCATGAGTATCCTGCTCAGCCTTCTGAATGATCAAAATCATAAATACATTAATACAGAATTGATGCTTGCATTGTCTTTGTATTTGCAGCTGGATAATCCATAAAAGAGCCAAGGAAAATATAGAGGCCCTTTCAATGAGGAGCAAGCAGGTTCTGTGATGTTACAAATTTTACTCAGAGCCAGTCGCTAGCAAAGCCAAGACATGAAGCTAGACACCATAATTTCTGTTTTAATTTTCTTAGCATATGCTACCCTTACAGTGGGACTCCAGTGCACTGTTGGCAGCATTAACGCCACAGGAATGGACCTCATGTAGAACAGAAACAGCTGTTGTTACATGAGATTGAAGAAAAAATGCACACACATGCACATTTTAAACTTAACATTAGGCAAGAGAAGAAATGTGAAACCCAAGGGAGGTTTGGAGACAGGCAGGGGCGGAGGGAGTAGAGTGCTTGCCTAGCATGTGTGAAATTGGGATTTCATTCCCGGAAATAAGTATATTAGTACACACACACATACACACAGAGATACACAAACACACATGCGTGTAGCTACGTGGAGACAGGTAGGAAAAGTGTCTTCTCTTGTTGCTGCATTTTCTGGTCTTGTCTTCAATTTAACCTCATTCATAAAGGGCAAACGACATTTGGTAGAAGTAGGCCCAAAACATTTAAAGACAGTACAACAGGTGTCAAAGAATGAAATAAGGCTCAAGGTATTCAGACTCAGTCCTGTCAGAAGAGAAAAATGACCAACCCATGGGAAGGTTCTGGAATTCAGAGATTAGGGAACAAAAAGGATGATGGGAGCAGGTGGCACACACCTGTAATCTTAGCTATTCAGGAGGCTGAGATATGGAGGATCAAGGTTTGAAGCTGCCCATGTAGAAAAGGCTGAAGACTCCATTTCTAAAGTAACCAGCCAAAGCTGAGTTGGAAACATGGCTTAAGTGGTAGAGTGCCAGCTGAGCAAGCCAACTAGTTGAATGAGCACAGGATCCAGAGTTCAAACGGGGTATTAACAAAAAAAGGAAAAGAAAGGGAAAGGGAAATGGGAAAGGGAAAGGGAAAAGGAAAAGGAAAGGAGAAAAAAGGAAAAACAAGACGGACGGACAGATGGACAGGCTGGATATATTATTGTATTCCTGGAAGTGAGCAAGGCATGAGGATGATCCTGTTTTCAAAGCCAGAATGGGGGGGGGGGGGCAGAGAGAAGCAAGTGGGGGGAGGAGGAAGAGGAAAGAGGGAGAGGAAGAGAAGGAAGAGAAGAAAAAGGAGGAGGAAGAAAAGGAGGAGGAAGAAGAGAAGCTGCTATTGCTATTACTGCTACTACTACTGCTATTGCTACTACTACTAGAAATGGCACAGAATGGGATGAGAAAACCATTGGTACCTTCATTCCTGCAGCAGCCGCGGGTCCGCTGGGGTCCACAGCCTGGATGTGACATGGCTTGCTTCCTCTCACCACAAAGCCCCAGCCAACTGCATCACCAACAATCTAGAGAGGAAGTCCACAATCAGCAATGGACAGACAGCCTCTGGCAATTCACCTGTCCCTCCCAAGAGAGGACAAGCCAGAGCAGAAAATGTGCCCAGACACATCTTTCTCCACTCCATGTGTGGTGGAAGCACTTCGCTTCTATCACAGATGCCAGATTCTCCCTATGGAAAGTTCGATAAGACACATTTTCCTGTGTGACAGGGGTCGTTTTGGCCAAAGACTGCTGCTTCAGAAGGGCAAAGCTCAGTACACCTGGCAGAATGCCTCTTTCATAGGTTGTTAAGACAATTTCCGGTCCGAATCCAATAAATGATGGAGAAGATGTTATAGATATGGCTAAATCTCCTTTCTAGATCCAATCTCCTCCCCAACTTTGTTCTTTCCTCTTAGATCCAAATAATATAGTTTTTAAAACAGGAATTTGAATTGGAAATACATTGAACCTATATAAAAAGTTGATTAAAAGTAAAATACTCAAACTATTAATTCCATACTATGATTATTATATATCTCTCCACTCATTTTAAATGTTTCTTTAAATGTTTCTTGTAAAGGCCTTACATATCGTTTCTCTATACTCAATGCTTTAAAATTAAGGTCTGCTTGAATTTGAACTCAGGGCCTCATACTTGCTAGTAGGCCTTCTAATGACTTGAGCTATGCTTCAAGCCCAATACTAGATATTTGTACTGTATTTTAAATGCTAGGTTTTTAAAAATTCAGTATTGATCTAAGGAAGAATACTCATTTATTTTCAGTTCTAGCAAATATATAAACTCTCTTAGTAATACTAATCATTTGTTTTATGTTAAAAATCAAAACAAATACATAATTAGATTATCTGTATGTAATGACAGTTTTATTTTTCTTTCATTGTAAACATTACATATTTAATTTTTAATCTCTAGGCTATCTGGTACAGAGTATTGACCCAGTATCAGGAATCTGTCTTGTCAACTAGATTTTACTTTACATTAATGAATTCCCTTCTATACCTAGTGGCTTAGAATTTTTACTACAAATGGATGTTAAGTTTCGTCAAAACGTTTTTCTGCATCTGCTGAATGGTCGCATCCTGCCCCCCTTTCTCTATTAATGTAATCATCACTGATTACTAGGTAGACTTTTTGATCAGCTATATTAATGAAATATAGAATAACAATAAAAATGACTGATTGTGAGAAACAGGAGGAATGTGGCCTGTGTGTGTGCGTGTGCGTGTGTGTGCGCGTGTGCCTGTGTGTGTGTGTTGGTGCTGGGGTTGGCCTCAGGTGCTGTCTTTTAGGTTTTCTGCGCAAGGTTTATTCTTAATGATTTGAGCCACTCTACTTTCAGCTTTTCGCTGGTTAATTGAAAATAAGAATCTCATGGGCTGTGCTGCTCATGCTGGCTTCAAACAGCGGCCCTCAGCTCTTAGCCTCTTGTGTAGCTATGATTATAGGCATGAGCCAGTGGCGTCTATCTAGTTCCAGTGTAGCCTTCTTCTTCTGTTAGGATTATTTTGTGTGTGTGTGCCATCCTGGGGCTTGAACTCAGGGCTTGTCTTGAGCATTTTTGGTTCAAGGTTAGTGCCTTACCACCAGAACCACAGTTCCACTTTCAGCTTTTTGGTGGTGAAGAGTCTCACAGACTTTCCTACTTGGGCTGGCTTTGAACTGTGATCTTCAGACTTTAGCTTCCTAAGTAGCTAGGATTATAGGCATGAGACACTGGTACCTGGCAAGTGTGGCCTTCTTAAAACCTATCTTTTTCCTCTACCAAGAAAAGAGAGTGAAAAAGTACATAAGGTTCATATTTTACAAGTAGTCTTTGATCTAAAAGTTGTTTGGAACTGAGATGTGTCTTTTTTTCTTATGGAATCATTCATTAGTATTGGCAGTTGGGTGCCAGGGCAGTTCCCAGACCTGTTCTTAATACCCATGCCAACTGAAATGAGACACACTCACAACCAGTTACCAGCAATGCTGGCACTGAAACAAAGGACCTAGAACAAATACTTTCACCATACAAGCAACTCTCCTTTAAAAGCTGGAGACTGATGACAAGCGGGAAAGAGTGGCGACTTCGGATCTGATGTTATCAATCAATTCGTCCTAATTTCATTTCCAAATGTGCTACTTGACTTTCCCCTTGCTACACATATTTTATCACACGTTTCTTACATTAACTCCTCCATGCTTACTCAGCACAGGAAATAGCACTCAACCAATGTTCATAGCGTGAATGAGTGCAGAAAGAGTGCTCTCCCCTAAGGGAACAGGCAAAAGTCACAAGATAGCAGGAAAGAAGAGACAAGCTTTAAAGAGGGTATCTGTGTGTGGAGACTGAGAGGAACAGGCAAAAGAAGGGGAAATGGAGGGGGTGAAGTCCATACGAACAGTTCAGAGTCTGTTTAAAGGAAATCAGATGGGCTGGTAGAAGGCAGAAGGGAGGTCTCAGACTTCTAAGGGCTTTCAGGATCTGCTTTCAGCTCTGTGGAGCTAAGTCAGAAGCCCTTAGACCTTAGCTTGTGCTGACCTTGTTTATGGCACCAGCTCTTACAAAGGAATGACTTCTCCCACAGTTTCTCTATCTCAGGACTTTTTTGGGGGGAGGTTGGGGGGGGGGGGGGTTGGTAGTACTGGGGCTTACTTACAGGGCCATGTGCTCTTGCTTATTAGCTTTTTACATTTAAGGTTTGCAGTCTTCAACCCCTGGACCACATCTCCACTTCCAGCTTTTTGCTGGTTAATTGGTGATATGAATCTTGTGGACTTTTCTGCCCAAGCTGGTTTCAAACCATGATCCTCAGATCTCAGACTCTTAAATAGGACTTACAGGCATGAGTGAATGGGCTCTGCCTTCAGACTCTTAAATTGTTTTTAGGATTAGCCATAATCCAGAAGCTCTTGACATTATATGTATTGCTATTGGCCTTCAAAATCTGTAATTACATCAGAATAAGTGCATAGTGAATATCTGCTTTGAAAGGATATTATATGAATTACAAATCTTGTATTTCAGGACCTTAAAGTCAAGAAGCGAACCATACAATCATGTTAAAGACAAAATGAAACATGAAGAAACATTTTCAGTGTAGTCCATAAGCTCATACATGGACACACTGACAAGCAAAAACATCAGCAAGAGAAAAGAAGCAAGCCTTACCGTGAACGTCTTCCTGGCGTACGGAGCCCCGGGAGTGAGGAGTTCCTCAGATGTGACCGGTCTCTTCAGCACTGAGAGACAGACACAGTGTCAGCAACAAGCACGCCCAGGGCCCTGCTGGCCTCACTCAGCTGACATTCACTCAACACCCCGTGTAACCACCAATAAGCAGAAATGACAAGAAGAAAGTATCAGCAAATAGCCTGAAATCTAGCTCAGAGAGATAGAGAGAAGGGGAGGTAGCAAACAAAACAAGCAAGCAAACAACAACAACAAACAGTAAAGGGAAGGGGCACAAGAATGTCAGGAAAGGAGTCAAGGTTAGAATGAAATTCATCTAATAAAGAAAACAGTCATGACTTCTATATTTACATTCTCCTCTCCCTCCCTCTCTTCCTCTTCTTTTCTTTCTCTCCCCCTCTTCTCTCTCCCTGCTTCCTTCTTCCTTCCCTTCCTCCCTCCCTCTCTCCTTCCCCTCTACGCTCCCTTCCTCCCTTCCCTTTTTTATTTTTGGCTGATTCTAGGACCTGAACTCAAGGCCTCACACTCTTGCTTTTTTTTTTTCTCTCCTCAAGACTGGTTGATGCTCTACCACTTGAGACACTCCTATTTCCAGCTTTTTTCTGGTTAACTAGAGATTTTTTTTTTTAAGTCTTGGGGGTTTGTCTGCACAAGCTGGCTTCAAACCTCAATCCTCAGATCTCAGCTAGGATTACACGTGTGAGCCACAGTACCAGCCTTACTTCTCCCATTTCTTCCCTCCAAATCCTTAAACGAATTTAGACATTTCAAAGTCATAAACATACATGCACTCAAGCTTCACTTTCAATGAATAACACCTAGGAACCTGGGGGCACTGTCCATACTGCCCTGTGTCCTGAGGAGTAATATTAGTGAACTTCCCCAAGGATTTACATGGCACTGTGCTAGGTGCTGCATCTCCACTATTCACTTAGTCACATGAGACTAATGAGTGAGGCTCCTTGCTATTCCTGTTTTATATGTGAGAAAACAAGCATGGAAAAGTTAAATTGCTCATGTCTAGGGTTCTAGAGCTAATGAAGGGGTAGGTAGCAGAATTAGTGTCAGATCTGGGCATTGGATGGCCTGGTCACAATGTCAGCCACTGGGTCACGTGGTCCCCGGTGCCATGCTGTCTGCAAGTGGATAGCGTCGCAGAATCTTAGAAGAAAATGTTGAGTGTTCTCTCCTAAGACTTCTGTTTTCATTGGCCACTATGTTACCCATCAAGCCTACAGAGACAGCAGCCAGTACCTGACCTGCCACTGCCTTAAACCTACCAAAATGAACCTTCCCGAGAACCTTCATTGAGAACTGGAAAACGGGTCTAGAACCAGTGTCTCATGCTTGTGTTACATGATCAGGATGAGATTTTGAGAATCTCGGCTAAAGGCCAGCCAAAAGGTCTGAGAAACTCCATCTCAAATTAACCAGCAAAAATCTGGGCTGGAGGCATAGTTCATTTGGTAGAGCACTAGTTGTGAGAAACAAAAAAATTGAAGGACTAGAAAGAGACTGTCCAAAACAGCAGGTGGGTCACAGGACAGGGACACAGTAATATGGTGGTTTTTTTCTTTTCCTTTTTAAAATGGAATATCAAAGACTTTTATTAGCATATTATATATCTATAGATGGTTGGATAAATAGATCGATCGATCGATAGATAGATAGATAGATAGATAGATAGATAGATAGATAGATAGATAGATAGTGCCATTATAAGGGCTTGAACTAAAGGCCTTATATTCTTCCTTATCTTTTTTTTGGGGGGGGGTCCAGTCATGGGGCCTGAACTCTGGGCCTGGGTGCTGTCCCTCAGCTCTTCAGCTCAAGGCTAGCGCTCCACCACTTGAGCCACAGCGCCACTTCTGGCTTTTTTCTTTTTGCTTATGTGGTGCTGAGGAATCAAACCCAAGGCCTCATGCATGCAAGGCAAGCACTCTACCACTGAGCCACCTTCCCAGCCCTCTTCCTTATCTTTTTCTCTCATTTATACCACCTTTCCATTTTCAGCTTTCTGCTGATTTGGAAATAAAGAGTCTTACAGAATTTTCTGCCTTAGCTGGCTTAGAAATGTAGTACGCAAATATCAGTCTCCTGAGTAGCTAAGAGTATAAGAATGAGCCACTGGTGGCTGGCTAATTAGCATACATAACTTGTAACATTTCTGTGCATGTACACAATGTACTCTGATTGCTTGTTAGGACGAATTTATCAGCAATCTTTGAGCCTAGCTTTTTTTTAAATGGAATATGAAGACCATGGGGGCCATGAATAGATTGTGACACTCCTTGGCAGGGTGCCAAGGAGTCACAGAGATTGGTAGGTTTGCAGGTCTCCCTTCTTTCTTCCTTAGGAGTGCTAGCCCCTGGTGGATCCTGGGATTTTCCACAACCTGGGGAGGCATTATGTCTCCTGTTATGGTGAACACACTGCCCGAACACCTTTGAGGACAAAGAGACTCTTCTGGGAGAGCTAATGGCAGACAGGCCTCCAGTGATTTGAGCAACCATCTCTTGGAAGAGAACTCTCATGATTAAAGTCATGTATTTCTCTCAGGAACAACCAACCACAAACAAGGCCACAGGTCAGTTTAAAGACCCAGCTAAATCAATGCAACTGCATGTAACTGTAGGGCAGTCCCTGCTTGAGACAAATGAAAGCCTTTCTTGAGACTTCATTTCAGGTGACTCTCCCCCCTCTGCTGGGCCCTACTTCGTCTTCTATTCAATAGATTTCCTCCACCTCAGAATCTGTTTCCCAGCATGCACCACACTGGCATACCCAGGAGCATGGCCACCCCTCGCATGCTTACCAGACTTGGGGTTGCAGAGCACAGGGGGGCTGCTGCTGAGGGTCGGGCTGCTGCTGAAGTAGCCGCTGCTGCCACAGCTACTCATGCTGCTCCTCCGCACAGCAGACACGATCTTGATTTCCTTGCTAGGGCTGACTGCAGAATAGGAAACATACACTGTTAGTGAACAGAATAAAGTCTTCATTCCTGGAGCTCCTGGGCTTTCAACTTCCTGATGCAGCAAAGCAAGCTACTTTTGCCAAGACAAAGCATCCTAACCCAGGAGCCCGAAAAAAAAAAGTACCTGAGGTGCATCTCTGATGCTTAGGACAACTTGTGTCATTCTTCCACTTCGCTCTGCCTCCATTTCCCTAACTATAAGGTGAGAATAATGTTATTTTACCGGATTGGTGCAGGGAGAGAATTATATAATGTATGTGAGTGAACACAGGATATTATTTCAAGAACTACCAAATGGCTGGGTACCAATGGTTCACACCTGTAATCCTAGCAACTCAGGGGGCTGAGATCTGAGGATCGAAGTTCAAAGTCAGCCTGGACAGGAAAGTCTGTGAAACTCTTATTTCCAATAAACTACCTCCCTCCAAAAAAGCCAGAAGTATAGAGCTGTGGCTCAAAGAGGTAGAGCACTAGTCTTGAGCAAAATAAAGCTCAGGGACAGTGTTCAGGCCCTGAGATCAAGCCCCAGGACCAGAACCACAAAACAACAACAACAAAACAAAAGCCCTACCAAACTTGGCCAGGCACATAGAAGCTCTGGCTTGCAATTCTAGACACTCAGAAAGAGGGAATCAGGAGGATCACAGCTGCAGCAATAAAAAGATGGGATCCTAATGAAAAATAACTAAAGCAAAAATGGGCTGGGGGCATGGCTCATGTGGTTTCATCCTCATCTAGCAGGTGCAAAGGCCCTGAGTTTAAACCATCAAACCAAGAACTCCCCAGTCAAAACATTCCCTCCCAAGAGATAAGCTCAAAGTAGTAGCTACTCATGTAATGAACTAACAGTGATGGGGTAAGCCTCTCGATTTGTTTTTATTGTTTTTTTTTTTTTGGGGGGGGGGGGAGTTTATATATTTTAAGTACAAAAATGACATAAAATTCTATGTACAGTAGAATAACAACTATGTAAACACGCCCCAAATCTATGCACAGAAATGTCTAGAGAAACATTTAACATCAACAGATTTAACATAATACGTGAGTCGCCCACGATTCTGTAATTCTCTCAAATTTTCCTTAGCAAGCAATAATTATGATTACAACAGGGACTCATTTAAAAAAGAAAAAAATTAAAAAGAGGAAAAGAAAATACCCCACTGGAGAGCTGGGAGTGTAGGTCACATGGTAGGACACTTGCCTAGCAAGTGCCAAGGTCCTGGGTTCAATTCACACTACCCTAAAAACAAAAAAAGAAGGTGAGGGAAGGGGAAAAACAAAAAATCCCACTGGAGTTGGGCATGATAGTGAATGCCTAGGATTGTACAATTGGAAAAGTGAGGCCAGCCTGAACCTACATTGTGAGACCTTGCCTATACACAAACACACACACACACACACACACACACACACATACTTACTTGCACATGCGTGCACACACAGTACCCCACCACATACATAAAAGCAGTAAGCCTCCCGATTTGTATTAAACCATATGCACTCAACATCCTGGAAGATGGAGCTTAAAATACAAAGCACCTATTCAGGTGTTAGGTAAAGTAGTGTCTTCAATTTTCTGAGTTGGTTCTTCCTGCCATGGAGAAGTCAGGCTGTCTCACAGGGAGTATTGATAAGGAAGGAAAGAAACTATGGGGAAAATTCTGTTCACTGCCTGAAACATGAGAAACAAACAACCCACTGCTGGCATTATGGGATGTTAGTCACTCTATCCTCTATTCTGGTTGATTGGACCACCTCAAGAAACAGGTAAACCTCAGTACCAGTGAGGAAGGAAATAGCTCAGCTGCTATGTGTCCTTAAAAGGACACAGTTCCTGGGGCCTTTAGGCCTGGCCAAGTTGACTTGGAGCACAGGCTTGGGCTGCTGACCTTTAGCTAGTTTTTATTTTCTCTAAGTAGCCCTTGCTTTATTTGCTCCTCCACTCAGCTGTGTGCTGAGGAATGTGGAAGCTATAGAGCCGAGGAGGGGTGGCATGAAGCAGGCATTAGGGAGTGATAGAGCTGTTGAGTCCCAGCTCCGTCCACCCCTTGGAACCTCGGGGAAGCTTATCAACTGCTCTCGGCCTTTTTCTTCTACCTGTAAAAGGGAGATATGAAAAATCCTTTCTCTGAGGTTATGGTAAGAAAAAAATGAGAAAATGCATGCAGCCAAGCTTTTCCTAATGCCTGCACACAGAAATGTCTCACTATGTGGAGTTTGTAAGTGTTCTTATTGTCAGCTTCTATTCATAACCAAAAGGTGACATTTTCATATCATGATGGGTTTAGTTTGGCACTCCTAACCCGAAGACAACAAATTCTTTGACTCCATTCCAAGTTTTCAGAGGAGCTGAAATGATCATTTTCAAGTGGCTCACTCACTGGGTTGTTTTCTCCTTTTCCTTTTCTTTTGTATTTTAAGCCTGTCGTGCTATGTAGACTAGGCTGGTCTTGAACTTAAGATCCTCCCACCTCTGTCTTTTGAGGGCATAGTTACACTGTGCACCACCACACCTCGTTTTCACTCTTCTTCTCTGTTCTCCTCCTTCCCTCCCTCCCTTCTCCTCCCTCCCTCTCCTCTTCCCTCCCCATTTCCTTCCTTGCTCCTTTCTGAGAAAGGTCTTGGTGTGAAGTCTAGGCTGGCCTTGAACATGTGATCCTTCTGATTGTGCCTCCCGAATGCTGGGATGACAGGTGTGTGTGACCCATCTGGCCATCTTATCCTCTTGTTTGGAATGATGCTTGTTTCAAGTTTCCCTTTTCTGGGTGAGTGGGGTTGCCTCTGGCTGTCAATCACCACCACTCGGATTCCCAAGCACTAACTGTGGACATGAAACTACTGGCTTCACACCTAGAACCACATGCAGCTGTGCTTTATGAGCTCTTCTTTTCAAAGTTGTTTTTCTTTTCTTGCTTTTTTGGTCGTGGGGCTTGAACTCAAGGCCTGGGCGCTGCCCCTGGGCTCCTTTTGCACAAGGTCAGTGTTCTACTTCCAGCGGTTAACTGGAAAAAAAGTCTCCCAGGGACTTTCCTGCCCAGACTGGCTTTGAACCATCATCCTCAGATCTCAGCCTCCTGAGTAGTTAGGATTACAGGTGTAAACCACCAGCTCCCTGTATCTTTCTTTTTTTAATTCTCTGTTAATCATTCACAGCTAATGGATACATGTTGGGCTGCCTTTTAATTGTTGACATTTATGCCCACAGCAGACCTTTATTGATCCCCAGTCCTTTCAAAATTATTGTTTAGAAAATGGAATCATTATAGAATGTATACATTCTAAACATTGTATAGGGGTGCATGCCTATAATCCTAGCACTGAAGAGGCTGAGACAGTATGATCGAAACTGGGGTACATGGCAACTTCAAGTCTCACAAGCAAGCAAACAAACAAGACACCAGTGGCTTACACTTATAATCCTAGCTATTCACAGGCTAAAATCCAGAAGGACTGAGGTTTAAAGCTAGCTCAGGCAGGAATGTTCACAAGATTCTATCGCCCAAAGAACCAGCAAAATGCCATGTCCTGCTGGAGGTGTGACTCAAGTGGTAGAGCACCAGCTATGAGCAAGCAAACTGGAGGCCCTGAATTGAAACCCCAGTACCAGCAAATAAACCACGCAAATAAAGCATTCATTTACATAAAATGAGCATTTCCAGGGTTTTCTATACTTCAAGTACATAATTCCATCATGACCTCATGACATTTAAGCTTGCTACCCAAGAATGACTTTTCAAAAACAGAAACTTCTTAATTATGAGTATAGCAAGTTTTGCAGAATAGAATTTCCCAAGGGCGCATCCACCGCAGGGCTGGCATACCTGACATAAAGCTGGTGGGTTTCCGATTGTCATGGCTCTGCTTCCTCAGGCAGAAGGGACTGTCATGAGCCTCCTGGGAAGAGGGAGACTTCTCATTGAGCAGCTCCATCAGTCTTCGCCTCCGACGGAAATTCATTCGGAACTGGTAGAGAAGGTTGCTGTCCACAAACGGGTGCTTGTTGGACACTGGGGACAAGAAATGACAGAGGAGGAATGTCTGGCATCCTGTGTGCCACGCAGTCCTATCAGGGGACTGCAGCCAACAGGGGCAAAAGTCTCAAGAAAGAGTTTAGTTCTATAGATGCCACATGGGTTGCGCTCTGCCCCACGTGGTCCTAAATTCTTTCCATGTATCATGCACTAAAAATATACTCACCAACTCCTCTGGGAAGCTTTCCCTGACCTCACCTGCAACCTGAGCTGTCTACTCTCCATGTTTCCTATCGGCCCATGTCTCCCCAGTAGAGTTACTTACTACATTTGGTCCTCACTCTGGTCACCTACCTTAAACACCAAGTGGTCACTGCTGCTATTGAATTATGTGGTTCCAGCAGTGTGTGACCCAAAGCAGCAGCTCATTTTTACTTTTATTTAACCATTGTTTTGTCTTTTTTATTTGTTGGTCATGGGGCTTGAACTCAGGGCTTGGGCACTGTCCCTGAGCTCTTTTGCTCAAGGCTAGTGCTCTACTATTTGAGCCACAGCTCCACTTCTGGTTTTTGAGTGGTTAATTAGAGATAAGAGTCTCATGGGGACTTTTCTCCCAGGCTGGCTATGAACAGCAATTCTTATATCTCAGCCTCCTGAGTAGCTAGGATTACAAGCGTGAGCTACTGGTGCCCAGCCAAACATTGTTTTGTTTTTTTTTTGTGGGTTTTTTGGGGGGGAGGCTTGAGGCTTGAACTCTGGGCCTGGGCAGTGACCCTCAGCTCTTCAGCTGAAGGCTCGCTAGCACTCTACCATTTGAGCCACAGCACCACTTCTGGCCTTTTCTGTTTATATGGTGCTGAGGAATTGAACCCCCAGGGCCTCATGCATGCAAGGCAAACACTCTACCACTGAGCCACCTTCCCAGCCCTAAACATTGTTTTTTAATGTGTGTGGTTCTGTGGATCAAACCCAGAGACTTGTAAATGCCAAGCAAATGCTCTGCTACTGAGCTATAGTCCAAGTGTGTGTGTGTGTGTGTGTGTGTGTGTGTGTGTGTGTACGTGTGTGTGTGTGTGTGTACGTGTGCTATAACTGGGGCTTGAACTTTGGGCCTGAGCACTGACCCTTAGCTTTTTCACAAGGCTGGTGCTTTAGCACTTGAGCCACAGCTCTACTTCCAGCTTCTCAGTGGTTTATTGGAGGTAAGAGACTTTCTTGAACTTTCCTGCCTGGGCTGACTTCAAACTGCCATGTTCAGATATCACACGTTCCTGAGTATTCGGATCACAGGCATGACCCACCAGTGCCTGGCTTTTTTTTTTTTTAACTTTTCATTTTGAAATAATTATAGACTCACAGAGACTTAATACAAAGAACATTCATCATACGATTCAAACCATACAAAATGTCTAGCATAAGAAAATCTCTGGAGACAGAGTACATTTTCTTTTTCATTTCCTTGTTTTGTTTTTGGTTATTTTTGTTTTGTTTTCCTCTGCTAGGATCAAGAGGATCTAGGGAAATATTAACACCAGTGTGAGTTTTTTTTTCTGAGGTGATAGAAATGTTCTAATTTCCTGTGATGAAGATTGCACTCTGTGAATATGCTAAAGCCACTGAATATTAATGCATGCTAAGTGGGTGAGCTGTATGGTCCACAAAATATATCACAAGCTCTTAAAAAATCAACAACAACAAATAGTACGATGTCCTTCACCTAGATCTCCTGCTCTGGTGCCATCTTACATAAACAACTAGAGTATAAAACCATACCCAGACCCTAGCACGAGCTACACACCTTATTCAGAGGCACTGGTTTCTATAAGTACTTATTTGTACATGCACGAGCATGTGTGTGTGTGTGTGTGTGTGTGTGTGTGTGTGTGTGTGTATGTGCGCGCGCGCATCGATGCTACTTTATCACATTTAACATTTGTGTAGCAACCATAACAATCAAGATACAGAACTGTCCTCTCAGGACAAAGAAGCTCCCTCCTCTGCCCCATGATGATCTCTTCTTCCATAATATGCTGTCCATCTACAACGCTATCATTCTGAGGACATTATAGAAACGGAATCACACAGTATGTCATCCAAGTTTGATGCTTAATGAGTGAATGTTTATTCAAGGATCAATTATACTACAACTACTTTTCTGTTTTCAGCCATCTACCATGTATTGAGTAGACTGACAAAATGGTAATTCCTTCTTTGTCCAATATTTTATGAGATGATAGGTAAAATAGAAATGAAAAATACTGATTCACAGTCTGCTTTGGTATGTTACAAACAACATTACATCCTTTATAGGTCAACACCAATAACCTAAGGTTGTAATTGTACTTCCACATTTGTTAATGCATAATTCTTCTGGTTAGATTAATCTTGAGGATTAACATAGAATGGAGATTTTTTCAAAATTTATTTTGAACAATTTATTAGCACCTTTAAATCTACTGCCAATAGACAGGCCTGCTGGTGCATGCCTATAATCCTATCACTGGAAGGTAGCAGCAGACAGAGTATGGAGAGTGTGAGGCCAGTGTTGGCTCCATAGTGAAATCCTGACTTAAGCAACAACAACAAAATCCCAGTGCCAATTCTTAAGATACTTGACTTTTATAAGGTATTTTATTGGAGTTTCAGAATGTGGAGTTCCCATAAGAGTAGAGTACAACGGACCATTAACATTTAACTTAATGATTCATTAGTGTGACTCAGAGTCTTCAAGTAGAAATAAACTCTTCACTTTCGCCAAATGAATAATGTTGGCTTTAAAGTTACAAACACACTTAACTCAGTGGTAGTTCTGCCTTTTCTTAGTCAACAATCCATTCTTGGATTCACATTTACCTAATGCAATCTGGACCAAAAAAATAAGCCAATTATATTTTGATGTGATAGCTACATTTATTGGCTCTCTCTTTTCTCTGGCTTCCTTGTGAATAGTTAAATTATTACATAAATTTAAGAAACTACTATAAGTTGTGGATAAGTTGTTTTTAAATTTCTGGCTTTTTTTTTTTTGGTAATCATGGGGCTTGAACTCTGGGCCTGGGCTCTGTCCTTGAACTCTTCAGCTCAAGGCAAGTGCTCTGTCATTTGAACCACTGCACCGCTTTTGGTTTTCTAGTGGTTAACTGAAGATAAGTCTCACAGACTTTCTTGCCCAGGCTGGCTTTGAACTATGATCCTCATATCTCAGCCTCCTGAGTAGCTAGGATTACAGGTGTGAGCCACTGGCACCCAGTTTCGGCTATCTTTTCTGAATATACTCACTTAAAAAATTCTCAAGGAGATGTTGGCAAGAGTATTTGAAGTTACAAACTGCAAAAGAGTACTACTCTCTTTGTTTTTATTAACACCTGTTATGTATGTTGGCATCTCAAATTGCATAAAATATTGGCTCTGGTGTAAGTAAGTCCAGAAAAGCAATATGAATATAAGAAATCTCATAATACATAAAAGCACACTGAACATATTTTTAGTGCTAGGGAAATAGCTCAGTATAGAACAGTTGCCTAGGAAGTATTAGATCGCCAGAACTTCAAGGGGAAAAAGTGTATTTATATATGGAATACAATAATAAATATTATGTATAATATATAGAGACAGACAGACAGACAGTCTTACTAGGTAGCTCAGGCTGGCTTTGAACTCAACATCTTTTCCTGCCTCAGCCTTTTAAGTAGTTAGGATTAAAGGTATGGGCTATTATGCCCAGCTACAAAGAGAAACACCTAATTGAAGTAGAAATTCTACTGCTAATGTAGCCCGGGTTTCCTCTAGCTTTAATTGCCAACCCAGAGTTTAATTCATAACTAGCTTCCACCCTCTGCCTCCTCAGCTTTAGACCACCTATAGCCAAAAGTGGTAAGATAGATGGTTAAATTAAAATAAGCTTTACTTATTACATAATGAAAAACAGATTGTAAAAACTCAATAAATTATGCTTTTATTGTTTTATAACCACCCTTGTTGTTTTTATTGTTACTGCCATTTGCTGATTATATACTGCCATTCAGTTTATGTGAATTCAATTTATGACATTACTTTCAATGTTCCATTTCAATTTCTAAGGACTGATTTCCATTTTAATCCCTTAAGAACAGCCACATCTCCCCTCTGTAGAAAAAAGTTTACCCAACCACCTCGCCAATCTCCTCTCAGAATATGGGGCCAAGTGCATATCACCTGCTTCTGCTTTCTCATTAAGGGTTTATGTAATAAGCATAATCTTTCACATGTGTTGTTGTTGCTGTTGTTTGTTATGGGGTTTGGTTTGTTTATGTTTTTTCCAGTCCTGGGGCTTGAACTCAGGGCCTGGGCACTCTCCCTGAGCTTCTTTTGCTCAAGGCTAGCACTCTTAACCACTTGGACCACAGTACCACTTCCAGCCTTTTCTGCTTATATGAGCTTCATGCATGCTAGGCAAGCATTCTACCACTAAGCCACATTTTCAGCCCTTGGGTTGTTTTGTTTTAGTGCTAGTACTGCTGCTTGAACTCAGGGCCTCAGCACTGACTCTTACATTTTTGCTCAAGGTTGGCACTCTATCACTGGAGCCACAGCTCCACTTCCAGCTTTTTGCTAATTAATTGGAGATAACCACCTTACAGACTTTCTTTCTGGGCCGGCTTCAAACAGTGATCCTCAGATCTTAGCAACCTGAGTAGCTAGAAGTACAGGCGTGAGCCACTTGTGTCCTATGAGTGTGTATTTGTGTGTCTCTGTGTGTGTTGTGTACAATTCTAAATGTATGTAATTGTAGCTTCAAAAACTGATGAAGTGGAATTGGAAGGCAACTTAGTTTAAGTAGCATATTCCTGTCCAGCTTGAGATACACACTGAGACCTTTTTATTCTCTATAAACCAACCAATCACCAAAACCTGGAGTGTAGGTAATGAGCCATATTATGGCATCAATGTATCATGTTCAACCAATTTATTCTATACATGAGCAACTGCTGAGTGTCACACCCTTCTATCTTAGCATCAGACAGAAGACAAATTTGTCTGCTCATTGAGAAGTCGAC